GCCACCCTTTCCCCTATTGGTGTATTTGCCAGGCATTTCAGAAAGTGACAGGTCCTGGCTTTATTCTAAGTATCAAAAATAAAGGTGTAAAACAGACTTAGAAGAGTCGGAACTGGGTCTGTGACTGGGAGGGCCTGCTTCAGCTTTCCCTGAAAGGCTGCTGCTTCCCTGCGATAAAAAATCAAACACTTGTGCAACCTTCTCTGGGTCTCAAAGTTACACAGCACGCTTCAAATCCCGCCAATGCTAATGGAAGAGCAGACAACCGCAGTCGCAGGCCTTGGAGTCCTGGAGGCGGCAGAGCCGCAGCTCACACGGGGCTTGCTGTGGGCATCGGGGAGCCCAGAAGGGCCCACGTGCTGCTCTCTAAGAGGCCGCCTCTCCCTGGGACCCGAGGTTGCTGTCACTTCCCCTTTGCTCTGGTTGTCACTAACTTTGCTTAATGACCTTGTTCTCTGGGACTCACCATTTCTCCAGTGCAGAGAAGGGCCCCACGCTCCAAGGCTGGGGTTGGGGGAATTTGCTCTCTGACTGAGACCCCAGAGTGCAGGGGCAGGGCCACGTGGGCCGTGGTGGCACCGAATGTTCAGTACATTTTTTTTCTAAATGGCTGTTCAATATTTTAAGTGGCACATCAGTTACTCTGGGGTGTTCTTATCCAGTTCACTCCATCAGCTTCAATAAATGACAAATTAAAAAGAAAGAAAAAGAAGAAGAAAGAAATAGCATGCTCCTCAGTGTCCCTCTGCGTGTGGGTCTGTGTGTACGTGTGTGAGTGTGCATGTGTGTCGGAGGATTCAAACTTTGGGATGAAAAACAAAGGGAATTAACAAAGCAGAGGAAGAGGCAGGTGGGGAAGGCCAGGGCAACAGCACCGTGCCAGAGGCTGGCGCCCTGCCCAGCCCCGCTGACCACCGGATGCCCAGGAAGGGGACCTCTCTGCCCCTTGGCAACATGTCCCTCTCTCCTTCCGCTTTGCCTTCCTATTTTCTGTCTTTGGTAGACAGCAATGGTCCCCAAAGGTGTGCACGTCCTATCCCTCGAATCTGTTCTTTTATGTGACAGAAAGGACTTTGCGGAGGAGACTGAGCAGAGGATTTTGAGATGGGGGATTATTCCGATGATGCAGAGGGATGCCATACCCTCACAAGGGTCATGCTAAGAGGGAGAAAGGAGGCTCAGACACAGAGTGATGGGGACCTGTGCTCAGGAGTGCAGGTGCTCCAGGAAGCTGGCCCAGAAAAGGAAAAGATTCACCCCACGACTCCCGAGCCTCTGGAAGGACTCAGCCCTGTCGACGCTTGACATTAGCCCAGGGAAACTGGCTTTGAAGATCTGTCTTCCCACTGGAGCTGGAGCCCCTCCACGACCCATTATTGCCACATTCCTTTGTGCCCCCCAACTGCCTCCTGCTGTTCACTTGGGTAACACTCCTCTAATCTCAGCTTTCCCAAGAAATGCAGGTCTAATTGCCAGGGATCTCGAGGTGCAGTCGGAAGTTCAGCCACCGGCCTAGATTTGCCTGCAGAGCTGGGACCTGTGGGAGGACAAGGGCGGGGTGGCTTCCAACTCAGGCTCCAGACCCTGCGGCAGAGGGAGGGGAAGCCCACGTCTTCAGGCTGGCACCCAATCAAAAAGGAAGGATGGAGACAGTGAATAGAAGGACTGCAAGGGAGCTCCAGTTGAGTGCCAGTGGCTTGGAAGGGAACTCTGCCTTTTAAAATCTGCCTGGGTTCATATCCGAATGTTAGTCAGGCAACTGAGGGTGCCAATTCTCACAGTGAAAAGGGAAATGATAGCCCCACCCAAAGTGCCTGGCAAAGGGGAATGGGGGAATGACCGGCAGGCTCCCCGGGCTGGATTTCCCCAGCCACCGAGGCAGGCGGGCTGTACCTCCACTGATCCTGGACTCCTCCTGGGGGACAGGAGCCTCAGGTTGGAGCCTGCAGTGGTCCATCTAGAGGAACAGAGCTCTGTGATCTTCCCAGATTGGCTCTGGACGTCACAAGCACCCTGTGGAAGCTCCTCCAACACCACTGTCCGTTCCTCCCACGCGCGCTGGCGGTGCTGAAAGTAAGTTTTGCAAGAGGCAAAGCCGAGTATCCCGGGGCACACTCTGCACACTGGGCACCAGGAGTGAACACTTAACATTCATCCTTTGATGTCTTCCAATGGTCTACACGGGAGCTGTCAGCACGAAGAATTGTTTTATTACATTTTCAGCAGCAACTGGGAAATCTCGTTTGGAGCCACTGTTTGTATGTTAAAACAGCATAGGCTGATTTTCCCTAACTGAGGACAAATTGATCCAGCACGTGCAGCAGGAGGAGGTGCCCCAAGCACACGCAGGGGAGGAAGGAAGGGAGAATGGTGCCAGTGGCGGGCACCATGGTGCCAGGCTGGCCGCACAGTGCACTGGGGCAGGCGCTGGCTCGCCTGGCTTTTCCGCAGCACTGATTTCCAGGTTATCCCCCTTTTCCCTGTCCAGGTCTCAGACTGTGCATTTATAAAGGGAGGGTCCAGATCAGGGTCACGGCGGAAGGAGAAGGATGTGCAAGGAGGAAGGGCCCTGACCGCCAGCTACTTGGACCTAAGACAAAGTCCATTTGACTCTCTCAGAGGAGCTCTGAGCCCAGACGTGTGCTCGCTGCCCACTCCTGCTCTTGTCTGCCATCTGACGTAGTTCTAAATAGGATCCCTGCTTCTCCCCAAATGCGCCTTCAGGTTTCTTGATGAGGAGCTGCTCCTTGGCACTCAGGTGTGCCTAGATGTGTGTTCCTGTGTACATACGGGGAGACACCAACCAGCGTGTGTGCAGGGGTGCGGTGTGTGCTTGAGCTCCTGGGTGTGTATATGTGTGCACATGTACCAGGCACAGGCTCGTCACCCCACGCCACCTCCCCACTGTTCTCTGGGGACTTCAGCTGTGCCCACACAGACCAAACACCTCCTGGGTGGCCTGTCCTTTGAATGTTATCAGCCTGGTCAGTGATGTCCAAAGCTATTGTGCTGCTAAGAAACGTGATCGCTGATTGGACCGTGGTGTGACTCATTGCCTAGCCTGTGTGAAGGCCCAGGCTCCATGTCCAGGACCAAGGAAGGGAGGGAGGGAGGGAGGAAGAAGGAAGGAAGGAAGGAAGGAAAACAGGTGACCACTGGTGAGCTTCCTTTGAGGAACGGAAGAGAGTGGTTGGTCGTGGACCCTGTCTCCCCTGCCTGATGCCTGGCCCCTGCTGGGATTCATGTGAACCTGGCATTCTCCAAGCCTCTGCCCCCGCTGTGACACACAGTCAGAGTCAACAAATGAGGCAAGGTCCTTGAGGACCCCTGGTGGGAGTCAGGCCAGGGACAGTGGTCTTACAAGTCCCCATATGAAAGGAACATAGAAGGCATAAGTGTTAGTCACCCTTCTGTTACTGCAGCGAAATGCGTGAGATACTCAACTTATAAAGAGAAAAGCTTCTTTTAGGCTCACAGTTTTGGAGGTTTCTGTCCACAGATGGTGAGACAGTATACTGTGGCAAGAGCATGGCAAGGAAGCTGTCACTCGTGGGAAGGAGAGAGAGAGGAATGGTGGGACGGGGGCCCCAATTGCCTGCCTTCCTTCCCACCTCCTGAAGTCTCCACCAACTCCCAGCAGGGCCTGCAGCACATGGGCCTCCAAACAGAGCCCACAGCAAGGGAGAGGCCCCCGCGGCAACCAGGACATGACTCCATCCCCCTCAGGCCTCCACTTCCTCCTGGGGCTCAGTCATCACAGCTGAGCTCAGCCAACGCGCCCCGTGGAGCACATGGAGCAAGGCCACACTGGGTTCCCGCCCAGGGGCTGAGTGCTGTGGGTGCTTCCAGAGAGTCACTGTCCTTCTGCCTCGGTTTCCCTGTTTGTGAGACAGAAAGGAAACCTCACCCGTGGGGGAATGCGTGAGAAGCTCTGCATGCAAAGCCTGGCTGGCAGCAGCTGCCCAGCGACAGGGACCTTTATTCCAGCCCAAGCCAGGTATGGAGCCTTTGGGTCACATTCAGAGGGGATAAAGACCCAGACCCGTGTGTGCCTCCTGAGCCCACTACAGACTTGGCACCTGGCAAGGCCCCTTCAGAAATGAGAATCAGAAATCGAAGCTTGGGAAACATGAGGGGCTGCATCCCCCTGGTACAGGAAGGGCAGGTGGGAGGCCAAGCCTCGTTTGCAGAGCACATGGGCAATGCTAGGGGTGGGGAGGGGAAGGAGGATGAAAACAGACCCCTTGGGCTTTCACCACAGACTTAGGAGGACGGGGAACCCTGCACGGGAGCAAGAGTCCATGGGTGGAACACGGGAGAATGCCCAGCCCACCCCTGGTCCCACAGTGGCCTCTCCCATGATGGACCCTGCCCAGAACCCTCTCTCCCTCCAGGAACATTTTCTGACCTTAAAGGTATCTCATTTCCCACCCCCAAACTACAGCCTCAGATGTGTGGTCAGGACCGGGGCTGAGCTGGTCATCTGTCCTCCTGGTAGTAGATTTGGGTCAGGTATAACCTCAGCCCAGGGCTCAGTCAGGGGAAGAGTAATCCCCTCAGAACCAGGACTGCCTCCTGAAGTGGCCCAGAATGGACTAGAATCCCAGGATACACGCTCTCCAAGGCCCACATCTGACTCCAATGGAACCTCCAAACAAGACAGGCCCCGTGGTGGGGGCATGCACCTGAGCCTCACCAAACACAAAGAAGAATCCAGAAGACACTTAACAAACCCCACAGCCCTGAGGACGTGGTCCTAACCAACAGCTTCACACTGAATGAAGTTTTATCCTCACTTCTTGAAACCCAGGAGAACAGACGTCTCGCCAACCAGGTCCGGAAGGGGCTGGAAGCAGCACATCAGCCAGGTAATTAGAGGAATGGATACGCACGCGGCACTTGGCTGAACTAGCAATCTTCTGGAAGAATCAAAAGGGCCGCCTGAGGTGAGAATCTACATTTGAGGGATAAGTTTAATTGATAAAAATAAAATGGTAGATTATTACATAGAACTTAATAGTACTAGGACTCAAATTTTTGAGGAAAGTTTGCTTTTTGAGCAAAAAAATAAAAATACCACTAAGAGCTAAAGGGAAGGAAATAAGTGGAAAAGTCTCCTCTTGTGTTTCCCCCCTCTTCTGTGGCAGAGGGCTCCTCCGTGACAGGCAGGAAGCGAGGGCAGGTCTCCCTGTCGGAGAGCATCTTGCACTGTTGAATCCACGTCAAAGACCACCTTTGCCAGGGAAAAATGTCTCAATGAACTGTGAGCCAGCATCTCGATTCCAGGCTTGTCGCTTCCCCCTGAAAGCTAGACATAAATTATCGAAAATACCCTTTGAACATTGGCCCATTAGAAGCTTCAAAGAGACTTTGAAATGCACAGAAAAAGTGGGAAATTACCTAAGACCAAGACTGGCGAGGCGCAGGCTGCATCCTTGCCCCGCTAGACTTTGCACACTTAATCACGAAATTGTGCACTTAGCAGAGGCCGAGCCCGTATCATACAGATGAGAAGAGCGAGTGTTTTGTGAACACAGGAGACAGATGCAGCCTCCAGCCTCCCGCCGGGCCCTCCGGGTATCCGCGCCTCTCCAAGCAGCAGCCGCAGCAGCTTTTGCTGTGGCTCTTCTGTTCCAGCTGGTGGTGGGAGCCCATGACTGCCTGCGGGGGCAACCAGGGAGCTGCCTGTAGGTGGCCTTGCCCCACTGCTCCACAGCGAACTCAAATGAAGCTGATGGTTGACCCGTGGCCACTCCCTGAAGCTGGTCTCAAGGCAAAGGGCCCTCTTCCGTTTGGTCGCTCTGTGGAAGAAAGGCACCAAGAACGTGGAGAACAGAGGGATGAGAGAAGCAGGAGGACACTGGCTTCTGTCCCACCAGTCTCCTGCAGGGCTGAGGTCCACGTTTGCCAGGACAGCCCTCCAGGCCTGTGCCCCTTTGCAGATGTGTCCGTGACACCCAAAGCATAAGGTGTGTGGATGGGGTGACAGCTCTGAGGTAGGATGAAGCTGGCTCAGTAGAAGTCAGGGATCAGGGCTCAAGAGCCCCACTGAAAATGTATGACCATTGTAGATCTGGGTACCTAATGGTGACACCCGGCCTCTGATGAGGGGAACCCTGGACTTGGGCTCTATTCTCTGGGAGCAGTGACATGGCCATGTGAGGCAGGCAGCCCAGCCTGGAGGAGCCAGGGCCCCTGAGCCCAGTGGTGGAGAATTCCACTCCAACCCTACCTGCAGGGGAGCTCCTGTGTGGTCCTCGGCCAGCTCCCAACTTGACCAGGCACCTGCGGGGAAGCACACAGAGGCCACAAAGACCACTTCATCATCTCCCACCAAGCCACATGGACCTCAGCAGGACAAAATACAGGTTGGGACTCAAACAAACCTATTAACGCAGATTTTCAAGTTATTATTAATGCATTTATATAATTAAACTATTATTAAAATACAAATTATCATCATTACCATTACACCACGTCTCCTTTCCCTGTCTCATGGATTGCAGTGATTGAAATGAATTGATTATAAAATAGTCACCTGGTACCAGACAACTGTATGCATTGGTTAGTTTGCAACTTATATACCTTGCCCATTTTTAAGTTGGGTAGTTGGCATTGTTTTATTGATTTGTAGGGTTTCATAATATATTCTGGACACTGATCCTTTGGGAATTATCTATATTGTTATGTTGGTTTTCTGGGGCCACTTTAACCAAGACCACATGGGTGGAAACAACAGGAACCTCGAGGTTCTGGAGACCAGGTGCTCCAAACCCAGGTGTCTGTAGAGGATCCCACCTCCACCACCTCTGCTGACCCTGGTGCTCCTTGATGACGGCTGTGCCACTCCCTCCTCAGTCTTCTCATGACTTGTCTTTGTGAATTTTTTGTCTACTCTAAATCTCCCAGTAGAAATCTGTTTTCTTTGTTGCTGGTCATTTTTCTTGATAATATTTAAGAATTTTGTTTCCTCTATTATTTTACTTCCTGTTCCTTTTTCATGTATAGGAAAGTTGTTGATTTTACGTATCAATATTTTCCTGGCCATTCTACTAAGTTTTCTTACTAATTGCACTAACTTTTGTTTTAGTTGGTTTTGAAGGTTGCTGCTCTTTGCAATTTGGGGTGTATATCATCAGCAGCAGTTAGCAGAAACTTTGCCCCTTCCGTTTTGATTTTTGTCTTTAGCTTGCCATCCGCTGGGTTGGTATTTCCAGAACAACAGAACATGAGCCATTAGGTTGTTCTTAGTGGCAAGCAGGGCAACAAAGAGCTAATGTTCCCACATGCATGACCCTCTTCTGGCCCAGAGGTGGCACGCACTCAGTGCACAATGAGCAAATCAATGCCACCACTGTCCGTGGGAGCAACCACAGTGCCACTACTTGTTTGTACTGAGCACCTGCCACTGTCCTGCCACAGTCCTGCATGCCTGGGTCCCCTTAGGAAATAAATCAATAGGGAAAATAAGACCCTCAAATATTATCAAGAAGTTAACAACAACAAAACAAACTTCTACTGAGAGACCCAAAAGATCATCCTGGATGTATTTAAACACACGCTTTGTAATTGACTAAAAAAACTTCATAAATACACCAGTTTTCTCCAACTTTGAGATATGCCTCACAATCTCTATCAAGACACCAATGAGGTTTTCGAGGAAAGAGGATGAGCTATTCCAGATTTTATAGAGAAAAAATCAAAGTACAAGAAAGGCAGGGAAATGCTCAAAAGATAAACTGGTAAAATAAACTAGCACCCACTAGCATAAGAGAAGTTAATAGCATTTGAACATTGCAAAAGCCAGCTGTTAAGTGTGGACGTGGAATAGACAGATAGGAGGAGAGGTTTCCCAAGGCCCAGAACAACACAGGATTCCTCTGGGAATCTTAACCGTGGTGAAGGTGGCATTTCAAACCCAGGAGGAAAAGTTCAAGAGCAGGCATTTGGAAATCCCACTGCTCTTTTTTTTCACTAAAATTACTTCCAGATAAGTCAAGCATTTAACTGTAAAAATAAAAGTACAAAAGTAACAGCAAAATCATAGAATTTTTATTTTTAGTATTATCTTGAAGCTGGTAAGGCCTTCGTGGCAAAACACAAAAGCTAGAAGCACAAAGGACAAGTTTGATCAACTTCATCTGTATTTTATGATGTAGAATTTGAAATGTTGTATCAGAGTTAAAATTTAAAAAGTACAATTTGAGGAAACAATGATTGAGAAGAGCTTTTTAATGTGGGTGTGGTGAAGTGGTACACAATTATTAGAAAAAAGACAACAATCCATTAGAAAAATCAGCATTTTCTATAAATAGAAAAGTAAACGCACACTGTAAATGAAATGTAAGACTTTCAACTTAATGTATAATTAAAGAAATGCAAATTAAAACAATACTTAGAAAGTAATTGTTACTTATCAAGGCCAGGGGATTGAGAACTAGGCTCTCTCCAGTGGTCAAGGTTGACAGGATTAAATGATTCATAAAAATAGGATTGTGGTTACCAAATGCAATTAACTCATCAGTTCCTCTCGGAGGAGTTTATTCTACAGCTAAAGTCCAAGAAGACAGACACGTGGATGTTCACAGTAGCATTGTTTAGAAAGGCCAAAGACTAGAAAAAGCCAGACTCTGGGGCACGTGGCAGACGCGGACACTGTGTTCCATGATGCCCTGCGTCCTGGTGTCAGGTGAAATGAGCAGCTTTCAAATGAGACTGTGGTTTCATCAGACGATTTTATTTCTCCAAAAAGGACCAAAGACAGAGAGCAGGGGATGGGGAGGGAGGGAGAGAGGTGGGGGGGGAGAAAATAAATTTCCTGGGAATTTACCTAAAAAATAGAACTATGACTAAACAGCCATTAAATCTGCAGAGTGGGCCTAGCGCTATAAAGACAGGAGTCTTTATTTAATATTTTTGCTTCAGGTTGACTTTTTAGCCAAGTTCATGTATTTCTGTTACAGTGTACGTTAGTCATGAAGCATTTCTCAAACTAGAAGCCTTAGAATTTTGAAGAGGTAGATTTATTAAAGCCCTAAAAATCATCTTGGGGACGCCATTTCTCTAATTAAAAGCACACTTTTTTCCCTGACCTTTTAGCATTTCCTGTTCAGCTCTGATTCTTTTCTCAAATGTCTTTCTTTATCTCTCTGAAGCTTGAAGTGGACATTCTGCATGCTTCCTTCCGAGCACCCTGCAATAGATTATATTCCATTTCCTGATCCTCTGGTGATACGGGCCCGTCCACAGAGGCCGACAGCAAGGCACGGAGGCTGCACCGGGACACTCACCTGCAGAATATCCTCTCGCTGTCTCTGGATGCTTATCAGTGTCTCCAGAAACCGACTGTTTCTGGGAAATATCTGATCTCACCTTACCATTTCTGCCTCCACTTTGTTGACATTAACCTGTAGATGCTGCTGTCTCACCCAACATTCAGACAAATATATACTGGGGTACACAGACAGAGAGAACGAGAGAGACCAAGAGATCTCTTCAGGGGGTGAACCCAAGGGCTCTGCAATTAGAACATCTAGAAACAAGCTAGATGGATCTCATCACACCTGGGGCTCTGTATTAATGGTTTACGATTTTTGTTTGTTTGTTTTGAATTCTATATTCTTATCTTCTTCAAAGTGAACTTAGAGGTTGTCACTCATGTCTGGCCACCCCCTAGAGAAGGTTGCTATCTCTCCAGTCCATTTGATCATAGATATTTCTATTTGTTATAAAGTCCCAAGTCTATCCTCAGTTTGGTCCTTCTGAAAGCAAACCCGCAGCTACCTCTGCGGCAGTTTGCCCTGCTTTTCCTGCCAGGCTTCTGCCTGCAGCAACAAACCTTCTGGTGACCCAGGGCTCTCTAGTCTGGCAGCCCCAGATAGGACCAGGTTCAGGAAGAGCACTAGTTAAGCTCACTCTCTGGAAAACCAGATGCTGTTGGGTCTGAAACACCTACAAATGCAACTATTTTCTCCCAGAGAAAGGTAGGTTTTGTACCTATTCTTTATTAGAATAAAGAAAATTTGGACGTGGGTTTGGTTTAAAATGTGTGGAGAACAAATTTCAATTTCATTATCAAAATTGGGGGAGTTGCGTTCTCCGGTGTTATTCCTCTGCATGCCAAAAGGATTTTTCTGTTGCCTAAAATTGCAGTCCCCCTGCAAGGGGCTATTGGGAAGCAGCTCTGAGCTGCCTTTTTCTTTCACAGTGCTCACAGGGTTTTACGGTTTTCCCCATTTAGTGAAAAGGGAACTAGAGTAGGAAAGATCAAGCACTCTAAATTTTAGCATAAATGTCAAGGTGAAACGAATGGCAAACCCTAAAACTCCCTAATAAAGCCGAGGAAGCTCCTATTTTATTTCAATGACAACCTATACTTCCAGCCCAGTTCCCAACCATAAAGGTTGATGCCATCTTAAAGGCAAAGTCGCTGGACACGCTGCCAGAGAATGAACTGCTCAGAACGTTTAATTCAGCCTGGAAACCAGCATGGCCTCTCTAACGCCTCGGTTCAGCACAGAGTGGCGTGTCACCCTGCCAAGGACAGACACATAGTCAAAGGCGTTCTTAATTGATTCTTCATTCCTCTTGTATTATTATTTCAGAAACTCCAGGAAGAGCAAGAAATCAGGAGATGTACAGGAAAGAAGAAAGAGAAGGCGCTAAGATGCAATTAGGTATGCACGCCCTGTCCGTGTCTTGCAGTTGAAAAGTGATGGATTCAGTTAATATTTTTTTATATTTCCTGGAATCTAAATGTTTGACATCCTCTAGTAAATGTGTCTGGGTGCCTCTCTGGCTTGTCGGTTTCCTTCAGATATGTGAAGTCGGGTTGACATGACAGTAATCTGAAACACAAGGATATAGCCTGGGAGATGTGCAGACAGGGGCCTGGGAGAGGATGTTTGAATTACTGGAATGCCTCTCACATGTGCTGAGGGCTGGCCCAGCCTGCATTTGATTGTTCTAATTGTGTTTTAAAGTAAAATGTATACAACATGAATCTATAAAGCTGTATGCTCTATAGTAAAGTACATAAGGAAAGGGGTAAATACAGAGCACTACATATTAATAAATAGGAGGTAAATAGTAATGACGTAGGTGAAATTTCAATGCATAGAAAGAGATCAGAATGAAGATAAGAATCTCTCTTGTTTAAACCTACTCTCATTCCCTGGAAGCATCACATTGAATAGTTTCAATGATTTATGTTCTTCTGGAAGTGGTCACTTTCACTCCAAATAATGTAGTTATAATCTTATTTCTAGATTTTCCCATTATGTAGT